GCCCAGATTCCTTTCACATCTGAACTGAGTCATTCTTCATCGCCTTAGGGGGAGGCTGACAGAGCAAAAGATGGAGTCTGTTCTCAGAATTTGAGTTTCAATAGTCTGGTCACAAAGTGTTATGTAAACAGTTTGGTTGCTGGAAAGATTTGGGGGAATTCACAAAAATCGAAGCTTCCTGTCCTTTCTTCTAATTCTCACCTTCAGAGATTTGACCAGACCCAGGATGGATGCAGCAGCTTAACGATGTCAGAGTCTGTGATCATGATGCCCTTACAGTTGAGATGTGGTGTGTATATATATATATATACACACACATACACATATACATAAACATATATAATATATATATAATGTGGTACATACATATATATGTGTGTGTTTATACCACATCTTCTTTATCCATTCATCTGTTGATTGGCACTTCGGATGTTTCTTTCTATGTTCAAGCAACATTTTTTTTTTTTTTTTGGCTGTGCTGGGTCTTCATTGCTGCACAGGCTTTTCTCTAGTTGTGGCGAGCGGGGGCTCCTCTCTAGTTGAGGTGCACTGGCTTCTCATTGTGGTGTCTTCTCTTGTTGTAGAGCATGGGCTCTAGCACACAGGCTTCAGTAGTTACAGCATGTGGGTTCAGTAGTTGTGGCCGCAGGCTCTAGAGCACTGGCTCAGTAGTTGTGGGGCACTGGTTTAGTCACTCTGCATGTGTGGAAGCTTCCCGGATCAGGGACTGAACCCATGTCTTCCACGTTAGCAGGCAGATTCTTTGCCACTGAGCCACCAGGAAAGCCCCAAGCAACATTTTTTGAAGCTGTGGCTAGTTTTGTGTATTAGTTTCCAGGGCTGCCATAACAAAGTAGAACAGCTGGGTGGTTTAAAACAACGGAAATGTATTCTCTCACCATTCTAGAGGCCAGAAGTCAGAAATCAAAGCTCGACAGGGCTGTGCTGCCTCCAAAGGCTCTAGGTGAGAATGCTTCCTTGCCTCTTCCTGCAGGCAGTGGCCCCCAGGGCTCCATGGTTTGTGGCAGCGTCACTCCAGTCTCTGCCTCGGTCTTCACGTGACTATGTCTCTGTGCTATGTGACTGTGTCTCCTTTTCTAACAAGGACACCCATACAGATTGGATATAAGGCCCACCTTAATCCAGTAAAACTTCCTCTTAATTAGTTACATCTGTAATTATTTACAAATAAGGTCATATTCAAATGGACTGCAGATTAGGACTTCAGCATGTCTTTCTGAGGTACACAATCAGATTCACAACAGTTAGTAACACACCACCTTATATTTGCTTCCTTCCTTCCCTGTCTCATTTACCTTTTTTCTATCGCCCTGTGCTACCATGGACTCACACCTCCAATAAAGCCTTAGCATATACATTATTTTATTACTGGAATACAATTGCTTTACAAAGTTCTGTGAGTATCTTCTGTACAATGAAGTGAATCAGCTATATGTGTACATATAGCCCTTCCCTCTTGAACCTCCTTCCCACCCCAGCCCCCATCCCACCCATCACAGAGCACTGAGTTATGTTTCCTGTGCTTTATAACAGGTTCCTACTAGCTACCTATTTTACACATGGTGGTGTATACATGTCAATCCTAACCTCCCAATTCACCCCCACCCTCCCCTTCTTCCTCTGTGTCCACATGTCCATTCTCTATTACTGCCCTGGAAATAGGTTCATCAGTACCATTTTTCTAAATTCCATGTATGCATCAATATATGATATTTGTTTTTCTCTTTCTGACTTCCTTTACTCTGTATGGGCAGAGTAAAGTAAGGTCCATCTACACCTCTGCAAATGGCCCAATTTCATTCCTTTATATGGCTGAGTAATATTCAATTGTATGTATGTACCACATCTTGTTATCCATTCACCTGTCATTGGACATTTAGATTGTTTCTTTGTCCAGGCTGTTGTAAATAGTGCTACAGTGAACACTGGGATACATATGTCTTCTATGATTTTCTCAGGGTTGCCCAGTAGTGGGATTACTAGGCCATATGGTGGTTCTATTTCTAGTTTTTTAAGGAAACTCTATACTGTTTTCCACAGTGATTATCAATTTACATTCCCACCAACAGTGCAAGAAGTTTCCCTTTTCTTCACCTTCTCCAGCACTTATTGTTTGTAGACTTTTTGATGATGGCCATTCTGATGGAGACATGGATTTGATCCCTGGGTTGGGAAGATCCCCTGGAGAAGGAAATGGCAACCCACTCCAGGAGTCTTGCCTGGGAAATCCCATGGGCAGAGAAGCGGTTCATGGAGTCACAAGAGTGGGACACAACTCAGTGAATAAACCATCATTCTGACTGGTGTGACGTGATACCTCGTTGTAGTTTTGACTTGTATTTCTCTAATAATTAGCGATGTTGAGCATCCTTCTATCTGCCTCTTGATCATCTGTATATCATATGCATTTTGATTCAGAATATATTTCCTAGGATATCTATGCAAAGACTTGTTAAGTTTGAGACATCCAAGTAGGGATATCTATCAGGTGGTTAAAACTGAAGCACAGAGGAAAAGTCTGGACTGGAGGAATAAATAATAGTATCTGTTGTACAGCAAAGTAAATCAGCTATTTGTATACATATATCCCCTCCCTCCCATTCCCCCACCCTATCCCTCTAGGTCACCACAAAGTGCCAAGTTTCTCCTATATAGCAGCTTCCCACTAGCTCTCTATTTTACACGTGGACGGCGGAGCCTGGTGGGCTGCAGTCCACGGGGTTGCTAACAGTCGGACATGACTGAGCGACTTCACTTTCACTTTTCACTTTCATGCATTGGAGAAGGAAATGGCAACCCACTCCAGTGTTCTTGCCTTGAGAATCCCAGGGACGGGAGAGCCTGGTGGGCTGCCGTCTCTGGGGTCGCACAGTCGGACATGACTGAAGTGACTTAGCAGCAGCAGCAGCAGCAGTGTATATATGTCAGTGCTATTCTGTCAATTCATCCCACCCTCCCCTTCCCGCTCTGTGTCCACAAGTCTGTTCTCTATGTCTGTGTCTCTATTCTTGTGCTGCAGATAGGTTCATCAGTATCATTTTTCTAGATTCCATAAATATGTGTTAATGAATACAATATTTATTTTTGTCTTTCTGACTTACTTCATTCTGTATGACAGACTCTAGGTTCATGTACATCACTACAAATGACCCAATTTCATTCCTTTTTATGGCTGAGTAATATTCCATTGTATTTATGTACCATATCTTCTTCTTTATCTTTATCCATTCCTCTGTTGATGGATATTTATGTTGCTTCCATGTCCTGGCTATTGTAAATAGTGCTGCGATGAACTATATAAGCTGCTATATAGGAGCGAGCTCAACTTGGTGTTCTGTGATTGTCTAGAAGGATGGGATGGGGTGAGGGAGGGAAGGGATATATGTATACAAATAGCTGATTTACTTGGTTGTACAGCAGATACTATAATTTATTCCTACAGTCCAGACTTTTCCCGTGCTTCAAGGGTACACCTGCCTTTTTGAATTATGTCTTTTCTGGATATAAGCCCAGTAGTAGGATTGCTGGGTCATAGGGTAGTTCTATTTTTAGTTTTTTAAGGAACTTCCATACTGTTCTCCATAGTGGTTTTATCAATTTACCCTCCCCCCAACAGTGTAGGAGTGTTCCCTTTTCTCCACACCCTATCTAGCATTTATTATTTGTAGATTTTTTGATGATGGTCATTCTGATTGGTATCAGGTGATATCTCTTTGTTGTTTTGATTTGCATTTCTCTAATAATCAACGATGCTGAGCTTCGATGAAAACAGGCTCAGTGGACAAGAGGGGGCAGAATTTTGATGACCAAGTGTTGGGGGTAAGGCAAGCAAGGAAAAAAGTAGCACAATGAGTGTAGAAAACATTCAAGAAATTTGGCTGTGAAAGGGAGGAAAGAGATGGGATGACAACTGGAGAGGACATGATGGAGTCCATGAAGATTGCTTTAAAGATGAAGATGTGAACACATTTAAATATTGATGAAAAGAGATCAACAGGAAGGCAAAGATTGCAGCTATAAGTGAGGGATGGGTAAAGAGTGGGAAGGTGAGAGGCTCTAGAATCTAGAGCATAAGCCTCCCGGGTAACAGGAGGGTAAGAGAGGATATAGGTGAAGTTCAGGTAGGTTTGAGATTTGACAGCAAAATTGGGGTAATTTTATCAGTGAAATAGCAGCAGGTTTATTGTTGATGGCGGCAGGGGGCTGAGACGTAACAGACTAGGGAATGATTGAGTTGGAAGTTTGAGGAGAAAGACTGGAGAAGAGGAAAGAAAGCCCCTGAAGAAACCTGAAGAGACGACCCGACGTGCAGGGGAACCAGGTGACCGCGGACCGTGAGTGTACCGTGATCTTGGGGCCCGTGGCTGTGACAGGCTTCGGAGATACTCTAAGCAGTGTCAGTGCAGGCATGAGGAAGGCATGTGGTTAAGCCCAGACGGGGTTGAGGTTTTACAGACTGAGGGACAGCAGAGTAGAAGCCTATGGAAAGCTGGGTGAGGAGGGGAGGGAAGGGAAAGCAGGAGGAGGCTGAGAGAGAGGCTCAAAGTGGCAGGTCGGGGACCTGGAAGTCAGAGGCTGGAGCACAGCTGGAGAAGGTGTGTTTGGGCAGACACTCACATAGCCCTGCTGATACGAACTGGAGACCACCACCCGCCCACACCATCCATTTGCGATTTTGGTCCCCTTAACTAGATTATGAGTTCTTTGATATGCAGGGCTACTTGGCCATCGATTAGATAGATAGGTTTGCATCAGGGAAAACTTTCGATTCCTTTACCCACGAGGACTTGCCAGGTAAAAGTCCCCACTTTGATGGCCATCACAGGGCACACACAGACATGGGCATACACAATGTGCAGAGTGCAGGCCTCTGAGCATATGGATTGAGGCCAATGCGAGAACTCACCACTAATAATGCTAAAGGCATCTCTACTATGTTTTTCAACCAAGACTCCAGCCACATCAGCTCCCCTCTCCAGTCAGGGCTGAGGCCTGCTGGTGCCAGTAAGAGCCTCCCAGACCAGGAACCCGCCCGCCAACCCCTGCTCTGGGCCTGAAGCCGCAGGCTCCACGGAGCCGGCTGCTCCCTGGCCCTGCCTGCAGGGAGCACGACCCAAGGGTGCCAGCTGGCCTTGCCCACAGCCTGAGGACTAAGCTAAGCAGAGTGGCTCTGGCTGCCCTGAGGGCCCTGACTCATGAGACGGCCAGTCTCATTCAGATGATTCAGTTCTTCATCCGATCTGTGCTGCTCATTCTCCCTGATGGAAGAGCTCCAGTCGCCCCCATATTTTACCCAAAGAAAGCAGGGCTAAGGGGAGAATACGGTCTGAGATAGTGAGAAGCAAATGCCTGCAGATTTTCCTCGACTATCCTTCCCAGAGACATCAGCACTGGACTCTAATTAGCCTCATTAGACCCAGAGCAAGGCAGGTGCCTCTGAGCCAAAGGTGGGGTGGTAAGGACAGAGGAGCAGGAAATGCAGCTTTTCTGGACCTCTTCTTGCCAACCAACCAAGAATACTCATGCTATTGCCAACAAATCTGCTAGATTTGAGGTCTCTAAAAGTCAGTCACCTGAGCTTCTGCCACTGACAATTTCAGATGGTGATTTGACTTAGAGAAATGACTCCCAGAGAAGGGTCTTGTGAGTCCTGGGCTAGGAGAGGCTCTCTCCCTGGGCCTCGGGGAAGCTGGGACCGAACAAGCAAGAAGAAAGGGGATTTTCCATTCCTGCTGCCCAGTCTGTCCAGCCCAGGAGGGAGTGTGTGCAGTTGGCTGCCTACAGCTGCCTGGGTACAGGGCTCCAGGCTGAAAATGGTTCACAGGGGGTGACAGAGGATGAGATGGTTGGATGACATCACCGACTCAATGGATATGAGTTTGAGCAAACTCCAGGAGATGGTGAAGGACAGGGAAGCCTGGTGTGCTGCAGTCCATGGAGTCACAAAGAGTCAGACACAACTGAACAACTGAACAGCAACAACAACGCTGCAGGCCAGGGCTGCTGTTGACAGCAGGAGAAGGCTCACTCCTCGCCACTGCGCCTCAGGCGGGAGCAGGCCTGTACCTCCCACAACACACCTCTCACAAGATTGCTGGGTGATTGGTGGCTCTGGCCTCAGCAGTGATGCAGAGCTAGGCAGGAGGTTCATGGAATTAGGGGCTCAGTAGCAGGACCACAGGGTGGCTTCCATGTCGGTCCGGCCCTCTGGCCTGATGCAGTGGAACTGGTAGAGTATGTCCATCTGAGTAGGGTTGGAAGGTAGGGAAAAGAGAGAAAGGGAGCGCGCCTTTCAGGGTCCAGGGGTGTGTGTGTGTGTGTGTGTGTGAAAACATTGCTCCTGTATGGCAAAAGGGCAGGCTTATGTGGAAGGTTTGGTGTGCAGAAGAGGCTATGAGGAGGGCATACTTCGGTACAAGATGGGCTAGTGGTTATGGTGTTAGTCAATCATCTATTTTTGTATTAGTTATCCACAGCTGTGTAACAAATGGCTCTGAACAACAGTGGCTTCAATGAACAACACACGGTTTCTGTAGGTCAGGAATTGGGGCACAGATGGTTTGAGCATCTCATGAAACTGCAATCAGGGTGTCAGACCGGTCTGCAGTCACCTCAAAGCCCAGCTCTCCTGGCTGTTGGCAGGTCACTAGTTGTGACCTAGAAGCCACCGTCAAGTCCTTGCCACATAGAACTCTCCATAGGGCAGCTCACAATGTGGCAGCTAACTTCTTCAGAGCAAGTAAGTCAATGAGAGAGAGAGAGAGCAAGAATGAAAACAAAAGCGGGGGGCGGGGGGGAGGCGGATGGACTCATGATCTTGTATAACCTAATCTCAGAAGTGACATCCAACACTTCTGCCATATTCTACTCATTAGAGTGTCACTAGGTCCAGCCCACACTCAGGGGAGGGGACTGCACAGGATACAACTACGAGGAAGTGGGATCACTGGGGTCTGTTCTGGAAGCTGCCTACCACATCCATTGATTCATTCAGCAATTGCTATATTTAATGAGGACCTGCAGAGTGGGGAGGATGGAACAAAATGGTGACTGTCACTTGAAGGTTACAGTCTGGAAGGTGAGGCACGTATTAACTAAAGAAACACACAAATTAGTATCAAAATCTACTACAGCAAATGACCCCAAAAGGTGGAGGGCAGTGGGGGATGGCCTCACAGGGTGCCATGAGAAGGTTTCACCAGGGGACCAGGCCAGGGGGCTCCCCAAAGAAGGGTTGATTGAAGTGAGCTCACCTGTGAGGGAAGCCCAGGCGTTAGCTGGGTGATGAGAAGAGGTGGGAATGGCAAGGGGCACCTTGAAGGCTAAAGGAACAGCATCATCTATGTGTACTAGTGGTGAGTGTGAGCAAAGAGCGTGTGTGCGCATGTATGTGTGTGTGTGTTCTGTTCCTAGTCGGATTTGAGTGTTTACACTGTGTAAGTGGATGGCGGGAGGAAAAAGCGCTGTCTTACACTTAAAGACCCTAAGGAAGGGACAGGAAGGTGGCAAAGGACAGAATCTGAGCAGCACTCTCTCTGAACCTCCAGAATTATGTCTCCTCACTTTTCTCCCCACTCTTCCACCCTCCCCACACCCTCTCTGGAAGATTTCTTTGGGGAATCATATATGTCCTCATAAAAAGCAAAAATCTGCTGATGCGGCCTAATGCATTATCCTGCAAAGCAGAGCTGTCTTCAGAAACTAGCTCTCCCCCGGCCCAGTGGAGAGGCTCCATTCTGCAAACCAGCATCTCCCTTGTTAAAGAGATGGCCTATTGATTGAGGCCAAAGTGACTTTTTATGGGTCCAGAGACAGGAAGGCGGGGGCCTGATAGGAGGGAGGTAGGGGAAGTTTGGCAGCCGCTGGGAAGAACAGAACAGTGGTGGGAAGGAAACTGGGAGTGCCCTGGTCAGGACAAGAGCCTTTCGGGTGTCAAGGGAGCCAAGTGTGGAGAAGGTGGTGCTGAGGCAGGATGGGGTGTGACGTGTGGCTCGACCCTACACACCTGTGTCTGAGGCTGACGAATCTCACACACTGCCTGGTTGCGCAGAGACAAGCCCAGACCCACGCAAATCGGCAGAACTGAGCAAAAGCCTACACGGTCCCTGTCTTCTAGGCACTCCACGAGGACTTTCCTCTTCCCAGAAGCACCTTGGTGGCTATGCAAGCCTTCCCAGTGTCTGGAATCCTGCCCCAAGCCCTCAGCCCAACACTAAGGGTGCGACTCCCATTCATTCGTGTCTTCATTCATTCAGTAAATATCCATTCCCATGGGCCTGGCACTGTATTAGTTTCTGGGGACACAGCTGTGGTTCCTGCCTTCATAGGCGCTTTCATTCAAATAGCAAATAATCATTGAACAATTGTTCACTAACCATGGGATGACAAATGTGAAAGTGACATGAAAGAAAAACACAAGTGAGAGCTAGCACGGTTTGGAAGGCATTATGGAGTCAGGGAAGGGGCTCCTTGTATGTACGTTGTCCTCTGGTCCTTGCTAAACCCTGCAGAGGTAACCTGGCCTGTCTGGGTATCAGCCTTGCCTCGGCCCCCATGACAATCCTGCAAAGGTCCATTGATGGTGTGACATGAGATCTATTTTCCCAGATTAAAAGTACAGTGATCTACACTCTTCTGACCCACTACCCATTTTTACAATGTCTGGCTCTGTCAGTTCCCTGAGACTGACCCATCTCTATACTGTGCTGGCCTTCCCACTGCCTCTGCTCTGGGCTCCCCTTACCCCATGACATAACAGTCCCCTGGCAGCCATGGGGGCTCCCCATAGAAAGCCATCTGCCTGGCCCCTCTCCAGGGTCCAGGAGCATTTTCTTGGAAAATGGAACCACTGGAAGTGAAAGAGTCTCTGGGTGGGGTAGAATGAGAGGTTAATTCAGGTTCACTCTGACAAATTGTTCCGCCATTTACATCCTAGAAGAAATGAGACAAAGTCTCCTCCATCTTTCCATCCCCAACCCCATTTACGGCCTGAACCATGATGGGGACTGATGTACCAGCCCCGTCACGTTTCCGGTCCTCGTCTCTTGCCCCAGCCTGAACTTTTATCTTCTTCTGTGAATTACTCTTCTTTCTTCCCTGTTCAAACACCCAGCCCTCTGAGCTCAGGATCTTCAGAGCCCACGAATGCTTTTTTCCCTCCACCACAAAGTCTGACTTTAACAAATGAAAATCTTGCTTTTATGACTGTTATAATTTCCATCATTTTAAAGCAGTGGTTCTTAACCTTGGCTGCACTTTGTAGGGACCTGAAAAGTTTCCATTCCGGGAACTTCTGATTTAATTGGTCTGGGGCTTAGCCTGGGCGACAGGATTCTTAAAGCCCCCAGATGACTTTAGTGTGCAGCCGGGGTCAGGAACCACTGCTTTAAAGAGTCCCATTTATGAATAGCAATGATTTCTTTTGTCTCCTCTAATCCTGTCCTCCCCATGAAGAAACCTAAGCCTCAGCATCATTCATTGATTCAACTCATGTGAGTTGGGCCCCCTCTATGTGCACTGTTTTAAGTGCTTGGGATACAGCAGAGAACAAAAACAGACAAAAATCCCTACCCTTGGAGAGGGGATGTTCTAACCAGGAGAGTCAGGCTAGAAACAGTAGCCATAATATGGGGACTTTCCTGGTGGTCCAGTGGTTAAGACTTTGCCTTCCAACACAGGAGGTATGGGGAACTAAGATCCCACATGCCTTGTGGCCAAAAAACCAAAACACAAAAGAGAAATTCAATAGGGAGGAGACCCGGGGACGCAGAGGCTGGAGACGGTGGGAGAGAGTGCCTGGACACATATATATTATCATATGTAAAATAGATAGCCAGGGGGAACTTGCTGTATGACTTATGGACTTCAAACCTGGGCTCTGTGACAACCTAGGGGGTAGGATGGGGTGGGAGGTAGAAAGGAGGTTCAAGAGGGAGGGGCCATATGTATAACTATGGCTGATTTATGTTGATGTATTACAGAAACAAACAGTATTATAAAGCAATTATCCTTCAGTTAAAAATAAATTAATTAAAGAAATAGAAACAATATTGTAATAAATTCAATAAATACTGTAAAATGGTCAATATCAAAATAATCTATTAAAAACCCAATAAAAATGTTAAAACCAGTAATACCTAATAAATTTCAGAGAATTAATACATTCTCAAGTGAAAAGTGCTAAGAGGGAGGAAAAAATCAGGGTAAAGGTATCAGGGATGGAGAAAGATCATCCATCTTTTCCATAGACCTTGTGGAAAAGATGTCATTTGAGGAAAGACTTGAAGGAAATGAGAGAGTGGATGAATGCAAACCCCCAAGTTGAGAACCATGGTAGATATTTCACAATATTATCCTGCTGCATGTATTTAGAAGGAAGAACAGGAAGTGCTTTCATTGGTAACTGAATATTGTAGGCAGAGAGGAGTGAGTGAAAAGAATCCATCAGAGATGACTCTCAGATTTCTTACCAAGTGTCCTTTAGCGAGCTGGGGATACTGAGATCTGGAGGTGAAGCTCCAGAATTACACTGTGGATGTTCTGGTGTAAAGGCATCTAAGTAAACCAACACATAGACCTGGATGTGAAGTCTCAGCCTATGAAACACATCTGTCTTGCCATCTGGTTTTTACAGTTTAAAATAACTGGAAAAAATCCAAAAGAAAATAATTATTTCCTGACATGTGAAAATTGTGTTCAATTTTAATTTTTAAATGGCTGAGAAAAATTGAAAGAAGAATAATATTTCCTAACACATGAGAATTATATAAAATTCTAATTTCAAGGTCCATAAACAAAATTTGACTGGAACACAGCCACCATGCCTACTCATTGTCACACTGTCCATGGTTGAGTTTGCAGTATAATGGCAGAGTTGAGTAGTTGGAACAGACACCATTTAGCCTACAAAGCCTAAAATAGTTACTGTCTAGCCTGCTACACACAAAAATATTTGCTGAACTCTTGCATAGATGATTGGATCCATGGATCTGGAGCTCAGGAGGGTCATCTAGACTGATGTTATAAATACAGGCATCATTAGCATCCAGAGGGGCTTCCCAGGTGGTGTTAGTGATAAAGAAGCTGCCTGCCAAAGCAGAAGATACAAGAGACACAGGTTTGTTACCTGGGTGGGGAAAATCCCCTGCAGGCGGGTATGGCAACCCACACCAGTATGTTTGCCTGGAGAATCCCATGGAAAGAGGAGCCTGGCAGACTACAGTCCACAGGGTCGCAAAGAGTCGAACATGACTGACGCAACTTAGCATGCACATACAGCATCCAGAGGTATTTAAGCCATGGGCGGCAATGAGATCAGAGCTTGAGAAGGGAAGGGGCTGAAGTTAGGCCCTGAAAAACTTAGATATTGAAATTTGGATGGAGGAGAAAGAGGCTGGAAAGGAGATGAAGAAGCAGTAGTCAAGAGGTTGGAGGAAATTCCAGAGACTGTTCTCATGGAAAAAAAGAAAAAGTGGGCCCACCAAGAGGTCAAAAGATCGATGCTGCTGAGAAGTCCAATATCGTGAGAATGAAAAGCATCTAATGAGTTTAGCAACAAGAAAGTAATTAGTAGCCATGATGGGACAATTTCAGTGAAGAACAGAGAGAGGAAGCCAGACTGGAATGTGATGAAGGATGAAGACAGGATAGTGAGAGATGGGAATGTGATATGAGGATAATTTTCCAAAGAAGTGCAGCTAAGAAGGGGACTGCATCCACCTATAGGGATAAAAAAAATTGGTGGCTAGAACTGGAGGAAAGCCAAGGAGGTTTCATTGTTGGTCATTGTTGTTTTTTGTTTTAACATCTGAATGCTTGGAGGGTATTTGGTTGGCAAAGGGAAAGAATGAAGAAACAGGAGAGAGACCAACCAAAGATGGAACACAGCGGCCTGGCCCTGTGGAAGCTCACTGGCAGAAGCCCTGGGCGCTTCCTCTGCCACCATGAACCCTTGGAAGTTGGGGGAATAAGCCTGGACAAGGGGATCCCTTGCCTCCTATGCAGGTGCAGTAGAAAAGGGAGGTTCCCTGGAACCAAAAAAGTAACTTAAAATCCTGGCTCTGCCTCTGTGTGACCTTAGCAAGTGACCACTTGGAGTTTCAATTGCCTCTTCCATAGAGTAGAGCTAAGGCTCCCTAGTTGACAAGACTGGTGAGGACCAAATGCCATGGCATTGATGAACCAGTCACTGTCCCTAACACATGGGAGACACTGAACAAATGTTAGATTCCCTCCTCCCTGTCCCAAACCACTCCCAGCCCAGCTACTTCTTAGACTTTGTCTTGGGATAAAAGAGAAAAGAATCTTGGACACAAACTTGACCTATATTCAGTGCCAAGTCTCTTGTCTTTCAGGAAGGGAAGAGAGGCACTTCCAGGGATGTGCTCAGCCAGCTGTCCCAGACTTGACCAGACGCATTGTTTTCAGAGCTCCTGGCGAAGGAAAGATCCTGAGATTCCTTATTCCAATTAGACCCTGGCATGAACCCTCTGGGGCTTCCCTGGTGGCCCAGATGGTAAAGAATCTGTCTTCAATGCATTAGACACAGGAGATGAGGGTTCGATCCCTGGGTCAGGAAGATCCCCTGGGGGAGGATATGGCAACCCACTCCAGCATTCTTGCCTAGAGAATTCCATGGACAGAGCAGCCCGACAGAGTACAGTCTGTGGTGTCACAAAGAGTTGGATATAACTGAGCAACTAACACACACACACACGAGTCCTCTGGCCACCTGAACTCTGGAAGTGAAAGCAAAGTCACTCAGTTGTGTCCAACGTTTTGCAGCCTCCATGGACTGCAGCCCACCAGGCTCCTCCGTCCAAGGAATTTTCCAGGCAAGAGTACTGGAGTGGGTTGCCATTTCCTTCTCCAGGGTATCTTCCCAACCCAGGGATCAAACCTGGGTCTTCCGCATTGCAGGCAGACACTTTACCATCTGAGCCACCAGGGAAGTGTTTGTCAAAGTAGGAATTCCTGGACCATTTTGTCAGGTTCTAGTTTTGTAGGGGCGTTTGTAGTATTGTGGAGTTATGGGGTTGTCTGGAATTGTCAGCAGTGCACCAAACTTTCACCTCCAAAGAACTTGCAGGAGAAAATGGTTTCTCTTTTGACTGCTGAGAACCCACAGAGATGGACAGTGCCCAGCAAAAAGGAAGGTGTGGCCAAGATCAGGAGACATGAATGACCTGGAGGGACGAGACTGACAGACAGTGCCCAGCATCACCACACTTGTGGGGCCATCTGCATGGAACACCTGCCTCGTGCAATCAGCCTCTCAGGCTGTGACCCCGAAGCATCCTGTTCTAAGCATCATCTCCCCAACCTGTTGTTTTGAAAAGATAAAATGGATCTATTTCCTTGGCATTTCCCTCTCAAAGCTGCCACAGAGGCTGTAACTCCTGCTTTATCTCAGTCAGGGAAGCATTTCATCATTTTCTAGGACAAAGATCCTATGAAAGGTGCAGACCCAGCTGGGCTTTCATCATGAGAGATCAACGCAGCAGGCCAGGAAGGGAGAGAAGCCATTTGTTCTGACAAGTGAATCAAAGTATCAAAGCCACATCCTGCAGTTATTTAAATGAAATACTATGCTACATTGAATGTAATATATATAATTAATAAAGGTACACCCACCTTTTGTATAGTCTTATGGGGCTGCAAAGAGATCATTACCAGAACAGACTTCTCCCATAGCACCCAGATGATGGGTGTGTACTCATGAGCTGATATGTACAGATGTGTGCATGTGCAAGTGAGCACGTATGCCTAAGTGTTTCTGAGAACTTGTGGCTAAGGAGTCATTTACTACAGAAATCCCACCTAACCCAACTTAAGTAAAAGGGAGTTTATTATAAGAAGCTGGAAATATCTCACTGTAACAGAGACATTGGTCAGTTTCCCTACCTTGTCAGAGTTTGCACCTTCTGATTGGACGAGACCACCCCATCACTGACAGCCACAGCCCATTGGACCAGGACCTCTGACTCATGGGGCATTTGTCGGCTTCTCGCCCCCAGAAATTTGGAACTGGGACAAAAACGTGTGAGTTAGAGGACTTCCCTAGCAGTCCAGTGGCTAAGACTCTGCACTCCCAATGTGGGAGGCCTGGGTTCGATCCCCAGTCGGGGAACTAGATCCCACATGCTATAACTAAGAGATTGTATGCCACAACTAGAGATCCCACATGCTGCAACAAAGATGGAAGATTCTGCATGCTATGACTAAGACCTATCATAGCCAAATATTTTAAAGAACCATGTGAGTTAGTTCTTTGGGGTGGTATACCCTGGAAGACATGTCTCAAAGACACGTGTCAATATCTGAATGATATAGCACCTGAGCACAGTGATTCTCAAACTTTGTATGCTGAAGGATCATGCAGGACATTTGTTTAAAATGTGGTTTCCTTGGCTGCATCCCCAGGGATACAGGGCTCTGAATTTTTAACAAATGCTCCACGTGATTTGAATGCAGGTACTTCAGCAAGAGAGCCACGGAAGCAGATGAGCAGTGAAAGACCTTCATTGCCCCAGAGAGAAAAATTTAGATGGGAAAGTAGCTGCTTCGGTTGATAGTGGCTTTGTTTCTCAGTTCCAGTCCCTCATAAGGCCCTTTTGTATTTCCTGTCCTGTGTTTTGTCGATTCGTTTGATTCCTAGAATATTCTAAGTGGGTTTCTCTTTCTCCCTACCAAAGAATTTCTAAAAGCATTTCTGCTTAAGGAACCAAGAGTAAGTAACTGGTTCCATTAGCCATAGCTGGTTGGGAGCAGGGGCTTCACTGGTGGCCCAGACAGTAAAGAATCTGCCTGCAATGCAGGAGGCCTGGGTTCAATTCCTGGGTCAGGAAGATCCCTTGGAGAAGGGAATGGCTACCCATTCCCTTGTATTCTTGCCTGGAGAATCCCATGGACAGAGGAGCCTGGCTGTCTGCAGTCCATGGGGTTACAAAGAGTCAGACATGACTGGGCATGCACAGCACTGCAGTATTTCAGACACTATTTCCAGACTTTGGCAGGAAATTCGGACACAACTGAAGCGACTTAGCAGGCAAGCATGCACGATGGGAGGGGGGCAGGACCACTTGCTACGCTGGCCCACCTCTTCAACAGGTCCTTTCCAAGAAGGAGTGCTGTCGGAGAAGACACCCCAAATACACGTACCACAGTAGACTTTTCTGAGAGGGTGTGAGGGCCTGTGGGCACTTGTCTGCCTGTGTGTGCATGCACTTGCCCAGTTCTGCTCTGCTCCTGTGAGGCCTGGGTATGGTATTTTCTCAGGGACAAGAGTATAATTGTGAGTGGGTGTGTGTTACTAAATCAGTCTGTGCACGTGAGTGGGAGAGAACTGAGCCAGGCTTATAATTGTCCACATTAAAGACTCATTAACTGTATCACTGCATCTACTCATAATATACCAGATCATATTTAGAAGTGAGCTTCTTAAAGAGATAGAATAGAGACCCCTCTTCTTTGAAGCATGGTGAGGAGGGGATACCATTTGGAAAGGTAAAAGATGATAAGGGTTGCTACTCAGAAGACCTGGGGTTGGGCCGAGACAGACACCAGGAATCTCGGGGGTCTATCCCCAGCATCCCCAGCAGGCAGCAGGTTCAGTCTCCCTGGTGTGGGAATGCAGCCCCAGAGCCAGGAGATAACAATACCCGGTGAGAAGTCCCCAAGGGGGATGAGAGCTCACTTAGTGATCAGAAAAAGAGTTCTGGTACTGTCTCAACAGAAGGGTTTTTATCTACCTCTGTGAGACTCTTGCAGCATCCTAAGGGCACTTCTACATCTCTGACAATCACCACGATTAATTTTTCATTACACAACAAAGAAGAAAAAAACCTCCCTTCCCATAGACTTCCTCCAGCACTTTATCTGTATCTCTCTGATGTCATGTAGTCTTGTTATTTTGTGCCATATAGTGCCATTCCTGAGCGCCCTTTGGAGGACACCCTCAACCGGTCACCTAGATCCCCCTCAGATTCCCTTTGGCAGTGTTCACCGCCCACTCCCCCCGCAGCCCCCCACCGCCGCAAGCTTCTGTGTACATTGACACCAATTGTTTGCAGCTGTGACCTTCTTCTGAGGCTTGCCCTTGAGCTCCTGGAGCTGCTGCAAACATATCCACATACTCAGAGTTACAGGTCTGGGAGTGCCTGGGAGTTAACTCCCCACCCCTCCCCACCTCCCAGACATGACTGGCGGGTACAGGGTCAGAAGGTCCACCTCTCTTGCCTGAGCTGATGCAAACTCTCAGATGCAATGTATATCCTAGAGCTCCCCAGGGGTCAGGCAGAAGTTTTGACTTCAACTGAAATCCTTTCTTTCACTGATTCTTCCCTTTCTGATACTGCTTCCTCCACTCCCTTACTGATTTCTCCTCGGAACAGTTTCTTAGCAAATCCCTTGCCCTCAAATCCTTGCCTCAGAGGCTACCTCTCAGAGAACCCTCTTCCTCGTGTCCCATCTCTGCCCACAGCCCCCCAAAAGGTAATTCTACACACCGTCGGACTTTACTTCCTTGGCCACATATTATGAGACCAGGTGGATTCCTTATCCATGCAGAGGCAATTAAATTCTCAAAACGAATAAGCATGCTACATGTGAGAGCTAAAACTATAAAAACTCTTGGAAGAAAAGGAGAGTCTTTCTTAACCTCAGGTTAGACAATGGTTTCTTAAATACATATTCTGCTTGGGCTGCTACAACAAAATATCATAGACTGTATGGCTTAAACAACAGACTTAATTCTCACAGCTCGGTTCCTGGTAAGAGCTTTCTTGGGGCTTCCCAGGTGGCACTAGTGGTAAAGAACCCCACTTGCCAATGCAGGAGACATAAGAGACACAGGTTTGATCCCTGGGATGGGAAGATCCCCTGGAAGAGGGCATGGCAACCCACTCCAGTATTCTTGTCTGGAGAATCCCAGGGACAGAGGAGCCTGGTGGGCTATAGTCTATAAGATCACAAAGAGTAGGACACGATTGAAGTGACTTAGCACACACACACAACAGCTTGCTTATTGGCTTGCAGATAGCTAATTTCTTGAGTGAGCAAATTCTCTGGAGTCTCTTCTTATAAGGGGCACTAAACCCATCTTGAGGACCCTACCCTCATGACCTAATTCCTAAATATCCTATCTCCAAATACCATCACAATGGGGGTTGAGACTCCAACAAATTGATTTGGGGGAAGACAGTTTGTGTGCCAAAAAGCATATGAAAAAATTCTGAGCATCATTAATCATTAGAGAAATGCAAATCAAAGTCACAACAAGATACCATGTCACAGCCACTAGGATGGCTAGTAGGTGTCTGAAAGTCAGTCACCAACATTGTGGAGGATGTAGAGGAACTAGAACCTTTATACATTGCTGGTGTAAATGGTGGCACCACTTTGGAAAACATTTTGACTGTTTCTCAAAATGTTAAACCTAGAACTACTGTATGATTCAGCATTTCCACTCGTAGGTATGTACCCAAGAGAAATGAAACACAGCCACAGAAAAACATGTACACCAATGTTCATAGCAGCATTAATTACAGTAACGAAAAAGTAGAAACAACCCAAATGCCTCTCAACTGATGAGTATATAAATTAAATGTGGTATATCTACACAATGGAATATTAGTCAGTGATAGAATGAAGCACTGACACATGCTCTGTCACGGATGAAACTTGAACCTGCTATGCTAAGTGAAAGAAGCTGGACATAAAATATTAGTAAGTGTTTCACTTCGTTTATGTGAAATTCCCAGAATAGGCAGAGAGACAGAGGGGAGATTTGTGGTTGCCTGGTGGTGTTGTGGGGGAGGGAGGTGGTTGGAATGGAGCATGACTGCTAATACATCCAGAATTCTTTTGAGGGTGTTGAGAATGTTCTAAAATGCAACCATCACTGCAATTTAATTTTAGACAATTCTCAACACACATATGTAAATATGTATATATTTTAAAAACCACTGGACTTAAAATAGGTAAATTTTATGAAATACAAAATATATCTCAGTAAAGCGGTTTAAAAATAAAACTTCATAGTTGGGTCCACTCGATCACCCTTTGCATCTTTGTGATAAACTGGTTCCTTCTCCTCCTGTGTTTCTCCTCTAGTGTTTTCACACAACCACACTCACAACACGAATGACACCAGATGTGTGGGAGGTTTCCATACCAAGCAGCCGTTCTTTGTGACACCAGCTGGGTGACTTACAATTCAATGCAGCGTGACACTAATCAGAGTTAGCTCAGACCCCACAGACTGAGGGCTTAGTTCCACAAAACTGTGCCTGTCTCCACCTCAAACTCCAATTACAAATCTAGGCTGTCATCTGTGCTTCTGACCAACCAGCTATAAATCAGAGCTTCCCATAACCTGTCCTTGGGTTCAGTCATTTGCTAGAACAGCTCACAGAACTTAGGGAAGCACTTACTTATGTTTACCAATGTGTTGTAACTGATACGATAAAGGATATAGATGAAGAACCACATGAAGAGATTCATAGGGTGAAATTCAGAAGCGTCCCAAGCACAAGGGCATCTGTCCCCATGAATCTGGGGTGTGTCACTCTCCTAACACACTGATATGTTCACACACCTGGAAGGTCCTCGAACCCACATTTTGAGGATCTTTGTGGGGGCTTCATAAAGTAGACATGATCAGTCATTAACAAAATCTCCAATCTTTTCTCCTTCCCCTTCATGGAGGATAAGGGTAGAGTTGAAAGTTCCAAGCTTCTAATCAAGACTTGCTCTTCCTGGTGAACAGACCTCATCCAGGAGCCCACCGAGCATTGCCACTTTAGAACAAAGACAGTCCTACCACCCAGCACAGCTCAAGGGTTTAAGGAGCTCTGTGCCAGGGGCTGGGGGCAGAAGTCAGTATGTATTTTTTTTTCTATGGTTTCACACTAACCTTCAACTTCTGAGTGAGTTTCTGTATCTTGAAGCCCAAAGACACCATGTCCCTTCTCCCTATTAGACTGTGAATTTCTTG